ATTCACCTTGTTGCTCTAGTACGAAGATTTTAGATATTAAAATTAAGTTTTCATATTATGCTTCTTAAGCCATGAACTTGTTCCTTTGCATTTCTTGTGTTTAGATTTGCATGCTACAGTCGTTCAAGTAGTATTGATCAAACTATCTTGTGGAGTAATCTAAATCACAAATTTAGAAACGAGTTTTGTTTACTCTTGATCTTAATCATCAAGGTAATTTGTTCCAAAACTTTCCCTGATTACTTATCATTTTTGGGGTTCTTATATAGTTTAGATCTAAAAATTTTGTTCAAGGTTGTTAGATCGAATTCCAAAAGTTTCGTAACATTTGGTATCAAAGCTTTAGATTCTAGGTCGAATATATGTTTCGTTATTGTTTATTTCTTATTTTTCATTCCGAAATTTTCTTAATTCTTTTTTATCTATTCATAATGGGTCAATCATCTAAAACAAAAAAGTGTCATTTTTGTTATTCTTTTCATTTCTTTTTTCGTCTTTTATGTTCTTATAAATCTTGTGTGGTTCTAAAACTTTTTACTTCATAAAATCTTGAAATTTGGGTTTCATATTAGAAAAAATGTCTATTTGCATTCTTTGCAACATGTCACAAAAGAAAATCAGCCAAATCTATGCTTCATCAAGCACAAAGACGTGAGAACCATGGTAATAATGATCCATTTTGGATAGCTTTTCAATAAAATTTTGATGGAATCTATGGAACTATAAAATACATAGTCTAAATCAAGAGATCGAATATGCAAGACCAAGTAAGAGAGACAAATTGTACCACCCATTAATGGGATGCATGTGAGTGAGAAAAAGTATCCTCCAAGAATTTATATTGGTCTAGGGTAATAGTCTTTACTCTTATAAGCGGGGAGTAAGTAAAGTAACCATGCCATAGGAAATGCACGAGAATACATGTCAAGGCCATTAGGTGCCAAATATGGATTTCGAATCCTAGGCATGAGGCGTAATAAATGGAATAAAAGCAATACTTCTTCCAATAAGATGTGGTTCAGGGACGAACCAATGCGTAATATGTTGGGCATGTGACACCTAAGTAAAGGTACATGAATGAACCGATACCATATTCGAATGAGAGAGATCTTGATGATAGGATATCTAAGAAAAGTTTAAAAGAATTGCACAAGTTATTGTCTATATAAACAAGGTGCACTTTTCTTCTCGGTGACTAAATTATAGGAACTCTTAGGAATTTTTCTTGGATAGGTTCCCACACGACCATAATTATTTATATTTATGAATTTAAAAATTGATTGGATTCTAAATTTTCAAATATATTGAATTTTGTTCGTTGAAAGGGACATAGTTTGAATGTTCGTCCAAAGAAAAACTTTATTCAAGCCAAAATTTCTAGAGTACAATTAAAGTTCATAAAAAGTCCAATGCATTCACCTATTTTACGTTCGAGGAAGAAAGAGGAATACCTTGACTTTGTGGCACGAAATTAATGGATGAAAAAGAGTGATATCTTCATTAATGGAGATCTATCTAAAAAGTAGCAACTTTTATTTCATTTAAATTTGGTGTGAGATCTCACATCTATTGAGAGGAGAATGAAACACCTTATATAAGGTTGTAGAAACCAACCCTGACAGACGCGTTTTAAAGCCTTGAGAGGAAGGAAAAGTCCCAAGGAGGACAATATATGTTGGCAGTGCACTTGGACCATTAAACTTTTCTTAGTTATCCTATTTTCACGATGCTCTCACTTGGAATTGGCCTCAGTTGATTCATTGTATCTCTTTTTTATTTTTCTATGACAGATTTCACCTAACTAAAACGAAAAAATTAAAAGCAAAATCAACCTCCACGACTTTAATTCAAGAGGACCCAAATATGGTTTTCGTTAGTACATCAAAGACTTTTTCAAAACGTGCATTTAGTTTTCATACCTAGACAATGTGTACAGGTAGAAATGAAAGCTCCTATTATGCCAATGTCAAAAAAAAAAAAAAAAAAAAAAAAAAAAAAAAAAAAAAAAAAAAAAAAAAAAAAAAAAAAAAACATTCTCATCTTTTATATATGTAATAACCCAAAATATTCGAATTAAAAAAGAAAAAAAGAATGGATTGTCCCACATTTCATAAAGTTGAGAAGTGGGTTGGCCTCTGCTGCAAAATGGAGGTCCTTCCCTTCATTTTAAAATTCCATTTGAACGGTTCGAGCTAGTCAGAGAGTATAAAGTTGGGACTGATACGCTCGGATTTTGCTTGTAATATTAGTATGATTATCTTTTAACTAGTTTTAATTTTTCACTTTTTAACTAATTTTAATTTTTCCTAAGCTTTTAAGGTTAGTATGATTACCTAAATTTTTGGATTCAATTTAAAGTATGTATTCATAATTAGACTTAGCTAATTTAAATTATTTTATGCAAAAATAGGTGAGTCAATTCCCACCCTAGAATTCTAACTTAAAATTATTGGACTCTTTAGTCATAATTTATTTTCAGAGATCAACGTTCACCATCAAGGAGTCGTAGTAGTTTCGACCTAAATCAACTAAGTAAGTGACATTACTATTGGCTCGGTTAGAAGACTTACCTTAATGTATGACGACTCGTGTCATGTGGCCCTTGCATGTGTCATTTATGTTTTATGTTATATGATGATATGATAATGTGATGACGTTATGTGATAATGCTATGACATTATATGATGATGTTATATGATGACGTGATGTATTACAAGCTCATTTGATTTAGGAAGGATCATTTGGAGGTTTAGAAGTGAATATTTGCACAATTGAACTAGGGGATGAAGTTGTTATAAATTGCAGATAAGTAGTTAGAAAACTTTATTTATTATTTTTAATTTCATAATTCTTGTAATGGACAAAAGGGTAGAAGTGATTAGTGAAATTGACTTTTTCTTTTGCAAAGATTTAAGAGATCGAGATTAAATTATGACCACTAACTTCTAACTTCTGCTGTGGTCAAAGTTTATGTGTGAGACTATAAATACCCACAAATTATTAAATAAAAAGGTAATTATGAAACAATGAAAGTGAGATCTCAAATTGAGACTTTGGCCTTTAGAAATTCGAGCATCATCTCTGTCATTTCTAAGTTTCATGCAATTGTTGTGTAGATTGCATCTGAGCCATTCAATCAAGTTTTGATCAAGTTCGATTGTGAAGTGACTCAATTTAAAATAAGGTTTCAAATCTTGCTTTTACATCTTTGATCTTAGGAGGTAATCTAATTCAGGCCTTATCTATTGGTTGATCCGAGTTTTGCATAAGGATGTGTTAATTTCTTTGATTCAAGAGTTCTTGCTTCAACAAAAGTTTGGATCGTTGGGCTGAGGATAAGGGTTCGCGTTATCAATTCTAAATTTTGTGTCACGTGCTACCAACATAACATCTTTCATAATCTTCCACGAACTTTTCCCAAAACTTTACTGCATAAGCTATGCTATCCAACTACAAAAGAGATCAAGTTATTCTTGAGACCAAGAATATATATCTTTTAATATCCACTAATTTCTTACGAGAATTTTTATGCAAACATCCTCATTTCCTTCGATCTCAAAGACTTTTTTGTCGGTAATATACGTCTTCTCGAAATTTCTAGATTTGAAATTTCAAAACAGTTACTTATTTGGAAAAGAATAAAGAGATGCACATAAATCCAAAATCTAGGATTCAATCAGGCTGTCCACACTGAGGTTAAGAGCATAAAAAATGTCTTCGAGTGAATTTATAGAACCATTATCATCCTCTAGTTTGTGATTCTACTTTCTCTTTGGTTTGTACAATTTGTCCAAAACTGCCTTTTTTCTCCACAACTCCAACAACGCTACGTTTCAATTGTTTGAAGATTTTTCTCGCATCTTTTATTTTCATCAGTCATGTTTGTTTGGCCTTCATTTACTTTTCTCCTTTAGTCAACACTAAGAGCACTGCTAGATTAATTCCCAATGTCTCGTTTGCGAATACTTTCGTTAAGAACTACATCTCAAGTTTCATCGAATTTTAGTTTTTCAAATCTCCAAGAACGGCTAATCGTAGCAATAATAGTATTCCAAGACTTGAGTAAAAATGACATCACAATCAATGTATGTATATACTTTAAACGTGGCATCGTGGACAGCAAGGAGTAGTTGCACCTAACTAATAATTATTAACTTAATAATTAGGTATTACCATACACACAGTACATTTTTTTTAATTATAATAATCTTTGTCACGTTTAGCTCTCATCCCTTCCATATTCTCTATTTAAAAAAAGAAATTCACTAAATCAAACTAAAACGTTTAGACATCTTTACCTTAAATTTTGTTTATTGTGAGATTACAAGTGGGTATACCAGTAGAACATAATATTTATTTTAAGGGTCTGAAAACTTCTTCTTAACAAACACGTTTTAAAATCCTTAAGATAAACGTCTGAAAGGAAAAACCTAAAAAATATTGAGAAAAACGTCTGAGAGGAAAAACTTAAGAAACCTTGAGAAAAACGTCTTAAAGAGAAAATCCAAATAGGACAATATTTGTTAGCAATAGACTTAAGTTGTTACAATTGATTTAGAGCCAGACACCGAGCGATGTGCCAACGAGAAGGTTGAGTATGAAGGAGGTAGACACGAGACGGTGTGCCAACAAGGATGATGAGCCTTAAAGAAGGGGTGGATTGTGGAGGGTCCCACATCAATTGGAGAAGAGAACGCGTGCCATGACGACCCTGGGTTTCGAAAGGAGTGGATTGTGCGATCTCATATCGATTGGAGAAGAAAACGAAACATTCTTTATAAGTGTGAGAGTTTAGAAAGGACAATATCTGTTATATGTGAGGTTGGATATTTTTATAATGTATTGATTCTAACTTGATAAGAAATGTGCGGCTTTGAATGGGTCAACGTAGACCATAACTTTGAATGGGTCAAAGAAAGCTTGCGAAAGTGGAACCTCAATTATTGTACTACGCTTTACAAGACTTTCCCTTCTTTGATTTATATATCACTCTCATTTCATAGGATCTGAAAGCAAGCAAGCAAGAGAGTGGGATGACAAAATATAGTGAGTATGGAGCAGAATCTCAAACATCCCACGCCCTCTTTCAATGCCATTCCTGATGATGCTGCACAAAATCAAGAAATTAGAATTGTGATGCAGTCTGAGGTTGACGCCTTTCAACCAACGCCCCTCCACCTTGCTTCAAAAAATGGAGACATCGACACCGTTCGAGCTTTGTTGGAGAATAACACGAGTGCTTGCTTGGTTTACGATAACAACGGGTTCATTCCTCTCCATTATGCAGTAATTAATGGACAAGTCGAAATCATGAAAGAGCTTATCAATGCAAGGCCACAATCTATTTGGATGAAGCTCAACGATGGTCGTACTGTTTTACACTTATGTGTAGAAGGTGACCATTTAGAGAGTATAAAGCTGCTTATTGAAACATTTATGAATCGGCATGAAGGCTTCTTAAACACAACTGATGACAAAGGAAATACTATTTTGGATCTATCAACGACACTCCGAAAAAGTGAGGCAAGTACTGAGAAAAATTTCTGAATGAATTTTCAGCCAATTACAAACTTTTATAATTTTTTTTTTTTTTATATGCAGATGGTAGGATATTTACTCTCGCTTTCGGAAGTAAAAACTAGAATAAACACTCCAAATGTTAGAAAAAGAAGTCTAGCATCTCAAAATTCCACAAAACAGAGACGAGAATCTGCATCATTTAGAGTAGGGCGGTGGAAGACATGGAGGAAGAAATTGAAATACAAAGGAGATTGGGTTCAAGAAGTGCAAGGGATAATGATGTTGGTGGCTACAGTGATCGCAACCGTGACTTTTCAAGCCGGGGTGAACCCTGCAGGCGGTGTTTGGCAACAAGACACTCCATACAATTCCAACAACTACATACATGAATATTATTATATGAGTGCTACGGTGAAAAATGGGACAATTCTCCCAGCTGGAAGTGCAATTATGGCATACAGACGACCATTAGATTACTTGATTTACTCAATAGCAAACGTGGTCTCGTTCATGGCCTCTGTGAGCGTGATTCTGCTAATCATCAGTCGAGTTCCACTAAAAAATAGGGTTTGTAGTTGGGTGTTAGTGTTGGCCATGTGTGCGGCAGTAGTGTTCTTAGCCTTGGCATTTCTACAAGGATTTATAATGGTTAACCTCGAGCCTCTCGACCAACTTCCTGCAGTCATGGGATATTATTTAGCGTTCGGGTTGGTCGGGTTGGTTGGTCTAATCCATTTAATTCGTTTTCTTGTTTGGGCGGTCAAGAGCTTATTATGTTGTTTCACCTCTAAGTTTAAAGCCCACAGCTTTAAATGTATCTTAACTTAAATATTATATAAATTCAATCAAACTATGATTCTCATGATGCTTACAAAACTAAAACCGTTCCAACTCAATTTTCGAAACCTCGAAAATCGAATTGAGATTAAAAAGACGAAAGCGAAAACAAATAAAAATAAAAATAAAATAAAATAGAAGATAAAAATCCAATAAAATTTAAAACAAGAAAACGAATTCAACCGACACCAAAATTAAATAAAAATATTATAAATAGAAAATACAAATATAAAAAAAAAAAATACAAAAGACTCCAAACGTGAAAACGGACTGACGCTCCAGAACGACACCCCTCTATGATAGTGCAGCTCTCAAACACCTCCCCATCTCTACCGGTACCTGAAAAAGAAAGGGAAAAACGAAGTGAGTATAAAAACATAAGACTCCCAGTAAAATCTGGAAAGTTCGACTTTAAGAAAAAAAATTAGGTTCTAAATTTCTCGTTATGATGTCACTAATAAAGCCTTTAGATTTTTTTTTTTTTTTTTTTTCTTCTTTCTTTCTTTCCTAATAGTAGAGGCTAGTACAGGTTTTGGATAATTTTTTTTCAAACACTTGCTCAAGTGTCACGTGTTCGTACGAAATAAGGTGTCTTAATCATGCCACAAAAACTTCATGTTAGATGAGCTTTTAAGGTTTTAAGTTACAATAAGTTAGTTGTAATTATGGTATTGATGGGCATGAGAGATACCTCTTTAAATTGACCTTAGGTTAATTTAAGGTTTATTTTTAAGGCTATAAGTAAATAGTTTTACCAGATATGACAATTTACTGGTCAGTTATTTAGTATATATGTCATTTGTCATATATAGCTTTATTATGTATAACCATTGAGCAACCTATAAATGTAACAATTCTCTCGTTTGGAGACTGATCTAGTCAACTAAGAATTTCATTTTCAAACGATTATCAATATCTTCATTGCACAAGACCTATTAAGGTTTTGCACAACCTCAATTTTTCAACATCAACACATTTTGTCAACATGTCTACTGGATTATTTGCACCCTATATCTTCTCTAAACACATCATCTTCTTCCACGGATCTGCGATTAAAATGATAACATCTTATGATGTGTTTTGTCTTTGAATGATAGACCAGGTTTTTCACCAACTGAATGACACTTTGATTATCTACTTTAAGAATCTTTTCACGCTACTTCTTGCCTAATTCTTCTAGATAATCTATTATCCACATCATCTTCTTTTCAACTTTGTCACATACTAACCTTAAGTATACGAAAGAGCAACACAATTTTAAAGCCTAGACATCAAACTCATTCCATCATCCATGACTTGCTTCCACTTGGTTGTATCCTCCAACTCTAGGAGCCCCATCAAAGAACTCTGGCTCCCCTTAAATATTTTAATGAAGGTGAATACCTATCCAGTACTCTTAGGTGTCACTTGTTGATACGAAATAAGGTGTCTCAATCATGCCACAAAGACTTCGTGGTAGATAATAAGATTGTACCATACATGTTTGGATTTAGGGAGGTTTCATTGTATTTTTCAATTTTAATGTATTATTTTTAAGGTTTTAAGTTACAATTAGTTAGTGGTAATTATGGTATTGATGGGGATTAGAGTTACCACCTTTCAGTTAATCCTAGGTTAATTTAAGGTTTATTTTAAGGCTATAAATAATCATTCACATTGTTGCTTAGGATGAAGATTTTAGATATTAAAATGAAGTTTTCATATTATGCTTTTGAAGTCATGAGATTGTTCCTTTGCATTTCTTAAGTTTATGTTTGTATACTACAGTCATTCAAGTAGTCTTGATCAAGTTATCTTGTGGAGTAATTCGAATCATAAGTTTAGAAACGATTTTTTTTACTCTTGATCTTGATCATCAGTTGATCATCAAGGTAATTTGTTCCAAGACTTTCCCATGGGTTGATTCTTTATCGTTTTTAAAGTTCTTGAATAATTATGATCTAAAGATTTTGTTCCTTAATAATGTTGTTAGATTGAATTTCAAAAGTTTCGTAACATTTAGTATCAAAGTTTTAGATTCTAGGTCGGATATATGTTTCTATTATTGTTTATTTCTTATTTTTCATTCCGAAATTTTCTTATTCTTTTTCATCTCTTCATATTGTGTCAATCATCGAAAACAAAAAGTGTAACTTCTGTTATTCTTTTCATATATATATATATATATATATATATATATATTTCTATTATGTTCTTATAAACCTTGTCTTAGTTCTAAACTTTGTATTTTATGAAATCTTGAAACATAAAGGAAAATATATGTACTTTGGCAAAGAATGCAAATAGACAAGAAAATGATTTTTTCCACACATCGTTATCAAAGTAAATCAGTCAAATCTATACGTGAGAATCTTGGTAATAATGATCCATTTTGGATAGCTTTCAATAAAATTTTAATTGAATCCCTCAATCTATGAAATAGATGTCTAAATTAAGTTAAGAAATGAATTTATTGAACCAAGTAAGAGAGAGACAAATTGTTAACCCATTAAAAAAAGAAGAAGATTGTCTTATATGCAAGACAATGCTTTAAATGATGATATTGTTACTAATGACGTGAGGAAGAAATATTTGACACATGTGTAGAGATTAAAGAGATTAAAGAGAAAGAGAGGTATGTTACTAGAGTTTGTGAGGAGAACCCTGTTTTGTATATGAAAGGACACACAAAATCAAAAGGACTTTCTTTTAAGATTCCTTCCCCTCGATGGCATCAGCTCACATTTAGGATTTTTGTGCTAAAAATAGGTAGACTGAATAGCTAAGAGGATGCTACATCTGAATATTGAGAGGGATCTTAACTAAGAAAAATTTAAAAGAATTGAGGGGCACATGACCTATACCAATAATGTGCACCTTCCTTTTCAGTGATTTAATCTTAGGAACTCTATGGTTAAGCATGTTTTACTTGGAGCAATTCATTTTATGTTGGGTGACCTTCTAGAAATTTTCCTGAGATGCATGTGAGTGAGAACAAAGCAAGCGAGAATAATTTATATGGGTCTATGATAATAGTCTTCACTCTTAAAAGCGAGGAGTAAGTAAAGTGAAGTGATTATATCATAGGGGATGTATGAGAATGACAAGGCCATTAGGTGCCAAATATGGATTTCGAATCCTAGGCATGTGGCGTAACAAATGGTATAAAACAAAGGCGGAATTGCACAAGTTAGTGTCTATATTAAACAAGGTGCACTTTCTTTTTCGGTGACTAAATCATAAGAACTCCTAAGAATTTTCCTCGCATAAGTTCCCACATGACCATAATTATTTATATTTATAAATTTTTAAATTGATTGGATTCTAAATTTTCAAATATATTGAATTTTGTTGGGTGAAAGGGACATGGTTTGAATGTTCGTCCAAAGAAAAACTTTATTCAACCCCAAATTTCTAGATTACAATTAAAGTTCATAAAAAGTCCAATGCATTTACCATTTTACGTCCGAGGGAGAAAGAGGAATACCTCGACTTTGCAGCGCACCACAGACATTAATGGATGAAAAAGAGTGATTGTGTAACAATTCATCCAAGGAAATTTATTTACTTGATATGCTTGAGTCACTTTATAACAATATGATGAGATAATTACATAACTTTTACGTTAATATGATGATCTTTTCCATATTAAGCAAGTTATATGATGATGAGTGTCATATTGCATCACGTCGTTAGATCGACATAAGACACAACCCTAAGAGCATGAAAATGATATTAATAAATATTCACGAGCATGTGTTACTTAATGTAATAAAGAGATGAGACTAGAGGGTTATGTTAGAAGAGATGATAAGATGGACATTAGAGGGATCTCATGCATATTGTATGTTCATAAGCATAAGGATACTTCCCCTAAAAATGATGAGTGCGAACGCACACAGTATGACGAGCAGGGTGTTTATGAGAAACATGACACTTTGGGGTTCTACTAACCTCCGGACGTCGCTACAGATTAGCTTGACCAGAGGGTCTAGGGGGTGTATGAGCGCCATGGAGATTCACACTTGCACGAGTGAGTTGTGTGTAGGGAAGTACTACACATCCAATTTGTCCGAGACTGGAGGCCACCCTTAGATGAGCTAGAGATAGGTCCCTAAATCATGATGGTATGTGTTTGCAGTTGCATGACCCCCTATAGTGGGCCACTTACTGAGTATTCTTTAAAATATTCAGACCGGTGCCACATCATTTTTCATGTAAAGACAAGGCACACTTGTATGGACGACGGTGGCATCGCGAGTAGAGACTCTAGCACGTGCATGCGCTAGACTTATATTTAAATTCCTAATCTTAGGTTAGAATAGGTTGTTTTGTCTTTCATTGTTTTAAACTATTTTGAATTTGTCTTTATTTTCTCTAAATTTTAGTGTTTTGTATTTAAACACATAGGACCATGGTTGTGTTTTCCAAAGAAGATGATGTTTTAAATATTTTCGACATTTATACTATAGATGATGTTCTCTTTTAAAAGTTATATTTTTGCACTAAAGATGAGTATGAAACGTTAGTAACGACTCTGAGTATATAGAAATTTAGGATCGTTACAAATTTGGATAAGTATTCAAATTTAGATTGACACGACATTAATGGATGGAGAAGAGTGATTGTATTATTATTCATGCCAAGGATTTGGATAAGTATTCAAGATCGAGATTCAGTACCTCCGACATTCTCTTATATTCCCTACGACATGATAATGCTACACCTAAGTCCATACCAGTCTTTTGAACTTTGATTACTTTGGCTTTAATGTGTTTATTTGAATCCAAATTCACCCATATTAAACTATGGTTAATTACGTGTGGCTTTGAAGGGGTCAACGTAGACCGTATTTGAATGGGTCAAAGTAAGCTTGCAAAAGTGGAACCCCAATAATTGTATCTCTTTACATGACTGTCCCATTTTTTGATTTATATATTACTCTCATTTCATACAATCTGCAAGCAAGCAAGCAAGAGAGTGGAATTGAAATATAGTGAGAGTGGAAAAGAATCTCAAGCATCCCACGCTCTCTTTCAATGG